TGTATTCGAGGACAGTTGACATCGCATAGGCGTGGAAATTGACGGCGACTTATGTAAGTCTCGGACATGCTTCAGCTAATCCAAACAACACCTGAGGGATGGAGCAGTACAACTGCTCACATGGACCATCTTCACTTCGGTGAACGCTCATGAGTCTCCCAAAGAGAAGACCGGATGTAGAGTAAGACGTTACCATGGCATTCGATAGCCTATCACAGCGGAAGTACAAGTAGCCAATAAGCTCAACTTCCTGGGTGAGTACCTCGTCATTCAAATACGTCTCTACGAGTCCTATTACATCTGGTCGCTCGAAAGCAACGAAACGGTACAACTCATTGCGCCTGTTCATATGACTGCTGACCTTAGTGAAGGGTGCACGCATGCTGTGGTAAGAACTACCGGGTGAGCCTGAAATACGAGCGACCGATTTATCCGAATCCGCGATCATATTGTAATTACTCGAAAATTTACAATGCGTACGTTTGTTTCTCTCTCACCAGTCCGCCGAGGCGGATGACTTGCGTTACCTTCACTCCGTCGTCATCCACATCTAGGAGCCTACCAACCAGGCTCCGTAGAAACTCTACTTCATGATCATAGCGTGACTGAGGACTTGGATCGTTGGACTCTGGCGCGTGAAAAAGCATCAGATTTAATCATCTCTTGTCATTCGAAGTGGTTCCTGCGGGAGAAGGGTGGACTCGGTCGTTGCTTGATCTGGCCTGTTGTTGGTCAGTAGAAAGAAGCTTTTCTTCGGTTCTTGGCTTCTTCCGTCGTTGAGTTTTCCACGGCTCCTCATGCATCGGGCATTCATCTGCGTCATTAGAGCTAGCAGAGCGTAGTTTGTGAATCATTGGCCTCAGTTAGTATCGGATCTCCGGAAACATTAGGATGGCGAGGTAATGAGTTGTCAGAGGGAATCGAATGGGTGGAAGGATGGAATGAAACTTGGACGGGCTCTAGGCCAATTTGCGTGACGGTAGGTCTAAAACTGCTCATAATAAAACCTTTTTGGTCGCGACCTACATCAGTAGACTTGTTCCGATTTGTTTCTGACAGTGTGAAAACGCCATCTTCACTCAGTGGTCTGCCTGAAACCAGATAACTCTTGGACAAAGTAAACACAAACGCGGTTAGTGTTTACTGGGATATACTTTACGGTCGTTGGAGAACATACTCAACTTTTTCCACTTCGTTTCAAAGTTGTATATTGTCAGTTAGCTCCCGACGGGAATTTGCAATTACACTGTCTACTCAGATCTCTACAACTCTGTGGATCGGAGCATTGAATCAAACGCTCTGGGTGTAGTTCCCTAAGCGTACTTCCATTCAACTTGCTGCTTTGCAGATCAAACTCTTCAGTCTGGGGCCAACGGTGGGGTACTTCGAACAAGCTTCTCCTTCGAAATGGGTAGCCAGAAAGCACCGGCCTTTAAGATACCGTCTCCCGCTCTTTCGTTTCTCTTTCTTCTCACCAATCTCTTGCTTACCGCGTAGAGACCATTAACCTTCCTGGGTCATCTTCCAAACTTATGTCACCATTCCGCATTGGGCCTTTCATCGTTTGCACACTATCAGATCGATAAACAAGCTATGCTTCTTAGTACTTTACGCTCCTTGGAATTGACCTATGCGGTCACCAATCCACGTACACAGAACAGCATTTCATTCATTTATCTGCATTTACTAGGACCTAGTTCCAGCGACGGAGTTTACGTAACATCTAAACGTACGATTTCCGACGGTGCCTATTTTGGCTCCTCTTTTTGGAACTGTTTGACACAAAGTGGCGGCATCCTCCGGTTGGCGATTGCACATCATTGCTCCCATCTTTAAATAGGGCCAAAAGTCATGGTGGTATCAGTCTGACTTCAGCTGCATCTAAACTACTTACATACACGTTCTTCAACGGCCCACTGACCCTCGTGATAAACGAATCAGCGTAGGATAGGCTGGATTCCGTCTCGGAAGAGGACGCATTGACCATGTCTTTACTCTTCGACATGAGTTTCAACATCATTATACTTGCAAACAGTCTATCATGGTAGTCGTCATTGGCTGTTTTTGATTCTGCTAATTTCACCTGTTTGTGGCTGTGTCTGTTTTAGAATGGCATAACCCGAAGTAGTTACTAACTTTGAAATAGGTAATGTCCGGTGGGTGAGCAATGTGTGTGTGCGGTGCCTTGTTTAGTGCACAGTAAGAGTAATGAACCGCTCAGCACCATTATTTCCTGTATCAGGCTCCGATGGCCAGGCTACGTGTTGCACACGCCAGTACACCGACTCGCGCGTTGTGCGTTCTTTGCGCAACGATGGTCTGAATAGAAGAAGAGAGGAGGCCAAGCATTGACTTGGTCAACTGTAATGAAGACCCTTATTTCGAACTTGGCGTCGGTTGTTTTCTCGCGATTACCTGGCTGGGGTTCCAAGGACGTTGAATACGTTTGGTTAGATGCGCTTGTTGACATGGCAAAGAGCCGACTTCAGTGGCGTTTGTGTTGGTTTTTTTTGTCCTTCCCTTCTCGCTTAACTTCCGTCTCCAAACACGATCTAGCTCTTAAATTCTGATATGATAGCATTACAATACATTACTTGTATTTTGCTTCGTGTTGTGTATTTTGTAATGTGTTCTACCTCACTTTTTCATGTACCTTTTGTATTGAGGCACAATGGCTGAGGTGTTTCTCACACCTAGCTAACTCTTAATGATACTGACTGAAATGGCAGCAAAATTGTAGCTCATCTTGTTCTGGTAGCGGTCGAAAATGTCGCTAGGCTTGGAAATTTTGTTGCAGAGGTTTCGTCATTAACCGATGAGAGGCTCTCTTACGTTACCCTACTACACACTACTCGGCAACGCACTGATGTCGCCTCGATTAGTGACGAAACGTGTGCAACATGGTTGCTAATTTCAGCGGACAGTTGAACCGCATCTGATTCCTATATTTTCTTAAATCCATGCGTCACATCGCTCGATTCTGTGTTTGTCTATGGAGATGATCTTATTAGTTCATCACGGCTGCGTTATCTCTTTCATTCTCTTCAGCTTTGTGATCAAGATGATCACCTCCACCTGTTTCTCTTGTCGAAATTCTTTTTGGTGACCAGTGGTCAATCTTGAAGTAAGCCTCAACATCGGGTAGCCAACAAGATAAAATATCCGGCACGTTATCATAAGATCATCCCACGCTGAACGATAAGATAGAGTGTAAAGCCCTAGCCTCTTGCATCGATCTTCGAAGGGCACACGTAGTTTTTGAACCTCGACGCGGGTGAGATGGGGGTTACAGCGTGGACCACCTCAGTTGTTGATGCTATTAACAGTTGAAACCCTGCTACGGAAGTGTTGTTTCTCTGTGTACCTGATGAACATTCATGTTTAAATTGTAACCAGCGATGCAGCCAGTAACAAATTGCGCTACTTTTCATTCTTATTACCGATATCCTCAGACGCTTGTTTTGATAGATGGTAGATAGACGGTAATTTCCAGATTTTGGTTACTTAAACAGTGTATTTGCTTGCTAAGTTATTTACGACTATATGACTATCTTACATGTAAGAGTCGTTCATTCACCACAAGCACTTAATGCAAAGAAACAGTGTGTTGCTTTCACGTACAAATATGCGCTATCTGAGGCTGATGTTGCATTCATGATGCTTCTTCACCGTAGTTGTGTTAAACCAACTTACACTTATACTAGGTCTTTTTAAGCCGGATAAATTTCATTCCACTTTATTTGCTTTGTTCTGCCTACCTGAATAATCTTCTATTAACTGGCCACGTTGCTTACGCTAATTGTGGTTATCTTCGTTAAATTTATTGTGTTTGTAGTACTTTTTGGGTAACTTGTGGACACTTTGTACATATATATATATATATATATATATATATATATATATATCGCAAATTAGAGATCCGTCAAATAAGAAATTTATCTTTTAAGACAGGATGCTATTTACTGCACTCTTCTAGAAGAGGATATGTTTTATTTCTAGCCTATCTTTTAGTTGGTAATTTTTGCGCTGTAGATCTCCGCAACACTGCTTCAGTGGTTAGGTGCGGTCAGAAATTCAGTTGCGTCCCCGTCTCTGTTTACAAAATGTTCTTACCTAATTGACATGTAACGATCTTGCTATTTTTTGTCTACCATAAAGATTCCTTATTTGTTTTCACTGTCGATTTTTTGGTTTGGTTTACAGCTCCATATGTTGTGGCACGTTCCACTTATCTTGCCTCCATATGTCGGTTTTGGCTGCTGCTTGCCGGTCACCACATTTGACCGGCTTGTTGCAACTTGCACCCAGTCGAAGTGTTTCGTCGGGAAGAATATGATTCATAGAGGGTCGTGTACAGAGTCGTGTAGTAGATAACTTCCTCATTGATAAGGAACGTTTCCTCGTCTGATAGTTCTTCACATGCCCGGAAAAGCACTAGACGGCGTTTTGGTCAGCAATGCGCATTTATCGGTGCCATCAGGATCTAAACCCATGACCACCAGTGGCTCGAACCACCAGCCAGCAGTCTACGCCATGTAGGTCCGCCACTCTCCCCCGTGGCATAGTGACATACGCTCCAGACTATGGGTTCAAGTCCCTGGCGGTCATGGGTTCGAGTCCCGATGGAGTTGATGGATGCGCACTGCTGAGGAGAATCAGCGGATCGAAATGGCCATCTAGTGCTTTTCTGGGCATGTGGAGAATTATCTAATTTAGAATCTGCTCCGATAAACTTTTAATTACACAACAATTCCCTACTAATGACTATACTCTCATCTCTTTGTTTATTTATTTTCCTTACGCCAAACGATCGCAATCCCCGTGCTCGCAAGATTTCTCCATTATTGCTAGTTACTACCGCCTTCGTAAAATGATGCAAACATCTTCATCCAACTTGGTTCTTACTAGTCTCTCGTTGTCAGGAGATTATCACAATATTTTCTCTTTCCTGACCTACACCCTTCTGTTACGGCATACATCCCAACTATACCCTTTCGCAGAAACACCTGCTGTCCTCTCTATGTTCCTCGCCTATACCTCTGTTCATTGGCTCGCTCTGTTCCGAATCCCACCTACCGGTGACAGCTCTACCCCAATGAAGACAAAACCCGGAAGCAAAGCACATGGCTTCATCGGCACTATCGCTCACTTGCATTTGTGGGGACTTGTTCCTTTGTACATATGCTGTTTCATTGTCTGGCCTCTTTCGACTTTGCATCAGCGGCTACCCTTCTTCCCAAATATGGCCACCTCCGTCTATACTGCTGTTGGATTGGTATTCGCTTTTTGTTACTTTGTATTTCAATGCTTCGATTGCATCCGCAGTCAGAGTGTGCAAACTGTCGCCGGCACAAAGAAGCCCAACCAAAAGCGTAAACAAAATGAAAAGAAAATCAAGGTGCAATAGGCTCCATCTCCTCTTCTTGTTCATTTCGTGTCAATCTCTTTTGTGTTGTCTGTGGTGTTTTGATATTCACTTGCCTTGATTATTGATCTGCACTCAGTCGTTGCGCTTGCTGTATTGACATGGTGGAATAGGCGAACTGCTATTGAGCATGTCCCGGAACTCTTCCCGCTATTTGTGATCACAAATCTGGTTTTTATACACCATTGGACATTAAATCTTTTGGATGACGCTTTGCCTTCCACCTAACAATTTCCTCAGGTTTGCGGAATCAGGTGTATTATGTGCATATATTAAGTTGGTAAACTTGTTTATCGTCACATAAAGTGTCGCTTTCCGGTTTGCATTTTCAATCGACAACTTGATTCACCGACGTTGAAACGAACTGAAAATCGTATCGCGTCATTGAAGTCGCCATGATTGTGGTCCTGGAGCACACATCATAGGCGGCATCCGTGTCTGGATGTGCCTGTCACGGTGACCACAAGATGACTGCGCCTGTAATGGGACCAGGGATGGCTTGCGCTGCACCGTCCACAGTTCCATACGCACATGCGTACAAGAACCACGTTTCATCAACGGAGCCGGCACACGCTCCTTCAACATGCACAGCAGCAGCATTCCTGTCTATCTAACTTAAGAATAATGCTTACCAGACGTGCAAAAGACTGTGGATGAGCCGTCATCAGTATCATCATTACACACTAGCCGAAGCTGAGAAACACACTTCAACTATTGTGCCGCAATACATAAGGTATACGGAAAGTATGGGACGCAAAAAACTGGCTGCACACTACTTACTAACATCTATGCCGGCCCTTAGCCCAAAGGTAATCTGGAGGCACGGGTTCGAGCCTGTGTATGGGCAGCGCGACCCTCGCAGTATTGTTAGCCCATGTGCCACCGATGATGGTTGCGCGGCAGCGAAGCGTCAGTACTGTGTACCGGCGTTCTGATGATACCTCTCAAGTAGCATGTGCGTCAAGAGAAATCGCGGTTGGAGGTGGAAGATAGACGGGATGAAGAATGACAAAGAAACTCACAATATAGACGCCACTGAAGTCGGCTACTTGAATGTCGACTAGTGTATTCAATCAGACGTGTTCACCGTCCTTGGGACCCCAGTCACGCAGTCAGGAAACACCAACGGAAGCCAACGTTGAAGTGAGGGATTTCATTCTTCTTGATCAAGTCATCGCTTGCCAAATCCACACGCCCGGTTCGCAAACAACGCACGACGCGGGAGCCGGTGTGCTGACATGCGCAACACGTGGCCCAACTATCAGAGCCGGGTGTGGGAAATCCCATCGCGAGGAGACTGCATCTTACCGTGGTGCGATGGTTTGTGTGCCTCATTGATCCCTTGAGCTATGTTGGGTGGTGCTTTTTTGCACCTTCATAGCCACTCATACCAGATTGGTCACTGATTAGAGTCCAGATAAACTCAGGCTCCTAGCCCTCGAGATTGGAGTGAAGGTGGCTCCTTACTCCACAAAACGCGCTTTCTGTATTCAAGTGCCAAAACCTCGCTGCCTTGCGGTAAGATTTTCGAACCAAAGGCTTTGGTTCAGAACCCTAATCGTTCTCCTGTCCAGGCCTGGGCAACCTGATGGTATTCTGTCCACGCGATACAATGCACCTTTCTTCTAACAATTTATCGATGCTCTGGCCGTCGCAGAAGATAGTCAACGGCGCCCTATCTGCTGCATCGAGTAGGGTGGAAAGGGGTTTGCATGCCACTGCTCAGGCCTTCCCGTCTTCTTATCCCCCTTCTTGCGCTTTTTCATCCTTATCGTCCCGCTCCAACTTTACTTTTGTCCCCTCATTTTTAACCCCAAATTTTTGGCCCTCCCTCAACTCACTTCAATAGTCGCTTGTCTTCTAGTTTCAAATGACAGTCGCAGGGCCTCGCTCTAATTCAGTCGACAAGTCTATGTTCAACCAAGCGGATAACGTCAGTTCATTCGTTTCCCTTTGGAGTTTTCGAGTCTCCCTAAGACTGGCATGCCTCAACGTGCGCACTTTGCCACAGGTTGGCCAACAGGCAGTACTTGCCCGCACACTGGAGGCCCTATCAATTGATATTTGCTGTTTATCAGAAACCTGCTTGCAAGATTCGAGCTCCGTGCTTACCCTGCGATCCCCCACATGCGACACAGGCGGCACATTCTCATTGCGCCTGTCTGGCGATGATGCAGCTTCAACTGTCGATTAAGCTGGCGTCGGCATTGTTTTGAGTCCCCGGACTGAAGCTGCCCTGATCGATTGGATCCCAGTCAACAGTCGGATGTGCGCCGTTAGATTAGCTGGTTCGTTCCGTGCTACGAAGTCGCGCGGGAACCAACTGTTCCTGTTTGTCATTGCGGCCTACGCCCCTACAAACTGTAGCAGTGTTTCGGTGAAAGACGATTTCTATCAGCAACTTCACCATCTCCTTCGTTAGAGAAGAAGCACGGATACTTTGGTGTTAGCTGGCGATCTAAACGCCCAAGTCGGAATCTTGTCCTCTGATGAGATTCATCTGGGCGGCCAACATGGTGTAGGATCTCGTAATGATAACGGTGAGCGATTGCTACAGTTGTGTGAAGATGCTCGTCTCCTTCTCGCGAGCACAAACTTTCGACATAGCACTCGCAGAAGCGTGACTTGGCGCCCACTGGCCATGGACGCAAATCGATTATATCGCGATCAGTTACCGCTGGAGAAGCTGTGTCCAAAACTGTCGTTCGATTTGGAGCACGAGCATGGACCCTGACCACGCACTTGTTTGCGCCGACCTGCGGGTGCGTTTCGGTGGACGTCCGCAACGTCGAGGTGAACGGATTGACACCAGCCAGCTGGCGAACCCAGATGTTCTGAATGTATACCATAGTGCGCTGACATCTGGGCTGAGTAAGCGCTTACTGCACACCATCGAAGATCACTAGATGTATATTCGTCGGACGTTACTACCAGCAGGCATGTCTTCACGGGGCAAATCAAATTGCCAAACTGGACATTGGGTCTCAAAAGTCTCTGGAACTTATGGATGCTCGCCGACGTATTCCGGCATGAAGCGAATACAGTGAGGCTCGCAAAAATCTCACGGCAAAACTGCGTGCTAGCCTGAAGAAAGACCGTGAAGCCTGGTGGTCTCACCGTGCATCTTAGATGGAAACAGCCGCTGCCGTTGATAATCATTGTAAGTTATTCCGTCTGATACGGGAAACAGGCAGCATGAGATCTGGTGTTAGCGAGATCATACGCGTTGAGAGTAGGCAGCCGATCCACAGCCTGTCAAAACGCTTGGAGCGTTGGGCCGTACACTTTGCACGGCAATTTAACTAACCTGTTCGGCCGGTGGCCGAGTGGTCTGCACGTTTGCTTTCCAACCACAAGGTCACCGGTTCGACTCCGCGTAGGGGTGGGCGTCCTCGCGGTATACTCAGTCCGCGCGCGACTGGTGGTGGTCGCGCGGCAGCGAAGCGCCGTTATGGCGTATAAGCTGACGCCTTTCTTTCTTTCGAGTTATCACTTTCTTCTTCGGGCATTGAGCGCCCTTCTCCATGGGCCGTCTCGGATCCGCCCTCATGGGCAGAAGTCTAACGTGAGATCAGGCTGTCGAACTTGCATAAGGTCGCAGGGGCGGGTAGAATTCCCTTAGCCCTCTTCAAATTCGCGGGACCTGCTTTAGTAGATTATGTACACGAGTTACTAGTGAAACTTGGAGAGTAAGAGACTGTCCCGACAGACTGGAACCGCTCCGTTATCGCACCAATTTTCAAGGGAGGCCTCTGTTCGGAATGCGGCAATCATAGAGGGATCAGTCTGACCTCAATTGTTTCTGAATTTCGTTTGTCTGTCATTCTCGACAGACTGACTGGCACCCGTGAAAGCCAGATTCATGAAGAGCAAGCCGGGTTTCGTCTAGGTCGGGGCTGCCTCGACGACATCTTCGCCTTGCGTCAATTGTTGGAGCACCGCCATGTTTATTTAGCGACCCACCGTTGTCGTGTATCTTGACAGAAAAGGTGCCTTCGATTGATGTGCCCTTTGGGACTGTCTGCTAAAGAAAGGTGTGCCTGATAAATACCTAAACATTATCGAAGCGTTGTACGCGCACAGTTTAGGCAGGCAAAACTGTCGGCAACCTTCAGTATCAGCAGTGGTGTGAGAAAAGGTTGACCACTGTCACCATTCCTATTTAACTTCGCAGTTGATGAAGTCATGGAAACAGCATTCGCTGGACACGACCTAGAAGATGTGGAGCTACTTCCTGGTGTGCGACTTCTTGACTTGGAGTATGTAGGCGATATTTTCTTAATTAAGGTTGGCTGTACCCACAGACGTCGCGGATTTTTGGACCAGCGTCTGCTAGATACTACTTTTGCCTCGGATTACTGTGTTAACAGCGTTTTATCTGTGTAAATTGAGCACCAATATTCTTCCTTTGGCGTATTTTCCAAGCGGTGAAAATTTGGCGACTATTCTTTGGCTACTTCCAGAGATTTCATTGATTTGCTCTACTGCCACCTCTGTCCGCCATCTTGCATTTGCTCTAGCTTGTGATGCCGTCTCAAGCTACTTGTGGTTCGTGTTCGAAAGTTGTGGGAAATAAGGCTCATGCACTTCGGTGCTTCGGCTGTGATGTTTTGTTCCCTATTTCGTGCATTGGCTTATCCGTTGACGTGTTTCGAAAATCGCTCGACATCCGACATCGTATTTTTCAAGTGCTATGTGATAAACGTCGCGGTACAAGACATCCGATTACGCAGAGACCGCAAACAACTACGGTAAAATCTCTCTTTCAGATAGAAACAAACCGTTCACCACGTGGGACCAAATGACCTCGTCAAAGTACCTCTGTTACCTCGCCTTCTATTGTCACTCCGCGATCTGCACCACCACCAGCGTCTTCGACCCCGGCCGAGCCCCAGCCTCAATGTTCCCCACCGATAGAAGACTCAGACTCGGAAGCTACGAAATGCCGCTTCACTGATCGGTCCGTGAATTTCTCAGAGGCTGTCTGTGAACTTCTGAACACCGAGGATCCATGGACCACTCAAAAGCGCAAGGGTCCACGTAATCGAGTTTAGATGTCACCTGCTGATAAACAACAACCCAATCAGTTAAGCGCCTCTAGTTCTGCTCCCACAGGTTCATCACTGATTTCGTTGAGGCGTCATAATCTCATGATCTTCCACGTACCGGAGTCAAAAGATGAAAACCCTCAGATACGTTATGATCACAATGTTGAGTTTCTCCAGAGGCTCATCGATAGACTCTTGGATGTGGGCGAAGACAGTGTGACGATTAAACAAGTAATCCGACTTGGCCA